GGAATTTAATATCTGCTCGGGCAGTGCTTGATCATGGTTCGCAGAATTCATTCATTACCAAAGAGTTGGCAACTCGTCTGGGACTTTTCTCTTATCACAGGAAAATGCAAATTACAGAAATCGCTCTAACGGATAGTATTGCCACTAAAATGGTAGATGTTATCATGCAATCAAATGTTTCGCCACACCATAAATTCACTGTTTCATGTGCTATTTTGCCAAACATTACCTCTTCTTTACCCCAAACCGAGATCAAAGTGCAAAGTTGGGTGATTCCTGAAGGAGTGGTCTTGGCTGACCCTATGTTTATGAATCCAGCCCCAATTGATCTTCTACTCGGGGCAGACTTATACTACGACCTATTGTCACAAAGAGTAATTCGTCTAGGTAAAGATTTGCCCACCTTGATAAATACTCAGCTTGGATGGATTATGGGAGGATCGTATGCTCAATCACCCGCAATTTACAATGGGGTACAGTCGTGTTCCAACTTGAATGTGTCCCTTTTAACGCAAACTAAGTCCTTTCTGGAAACGTTGGTTTCTAGATTCTGGAGCATTGAGGAAATTGCCTCTGGAAACTACTCTCCGAGCAAGATCAAATTGCTAAAAATATTTTCGAATCCACAACACCGGTTCTGGATAACGGCGCTTTCCAGGTTGACCTTCCACTCAAATCCCCTAAAGAAAACCTCAAGCTTGGTGATTCCTTTGCTATTGCCCGGAAGCGATTTGAGAATTTGAAGAAAAGGTTTTCACGTGACGAAAAGTCCTTTCGCGAGAACAAAATGTTTATCGACGATTATATTTCCCTCGGACATGCAAGAATTATTCCTCTGACTTTGAGAAATTTCCAGCTAGAATCCAAATATTTTCTCCCGCACCACGCTGTTCTAAGAGAGGACAGTGTGTCCACAAAACTCAGAGTTGTCTTCGATGCCTTTTGTCGGACTTCAGGTTATGCTCTAAATGACCTAATGTTCAAAAGCTATCAGGTTCAACCGGACCTTTACGACATTCTATGCCGCATGCGCTCTTTTAAATTTGTCCTGGTCTACGATATTGATAAAATGTTTCGACAAATAAGAGTAAATCCTGCTCAAACTTTTCTATTGAACATTCTCTGGCGCGACAATCCAAATAAAGATCTTTAAGGTGTCGAATTGCTCACAGTGACTTATGGAACTAATTCAGCTCCATTTTTGGCCACGCGTGTTCTCAAAGATATCGCGCTTAGAAACAAACACAAATACCCACAGGCCTCAAAGTCTATCCTCGAGCAATGTTAAATGGATGATGTCCTTACTGGGGCAGATTCCGTGGAAGATTTTAAAAAACTTGCGCAAAGAGCTCAGCTCGCTTATGAACAAATACCATTTTACTCTTCACAAATGGCGTACAAATTGCTCTGACTTAGGGTTAGAAGAACCCAAATGTCACTCAACTAACTTCGACATAAATCCTGATGGAAGTCCGGACAAGGTCTTGGGAGCGCTTTGGAATACAAAAGACGATTTCTTTTGTATTTATTTGTATTTGTGTTTCTTCTTCAAAAACGTAAAAGTTCCAAAATTGACAAAGAGAACCATTCTTTCACTTGTGGCGCAGTGTTTTGACCCGCTTGGTTTGCTCGCTTCCCTAATAATTACAGGAAAGCTGATCATACAACGGCTTTGGTTACTGGAGTTAGGTTGGGATGTTCCAATCACTGATGAGTCAATTTTGGACAAGCGGTTTGAATTTAAAAATAATCTTTTATTATTGAGCTCCCTAAGAATTTCAAGACCCTACTTTTTGTACAAATCCAAGAGAATTATCGAATTACACGGATTTGCAGACTCAAGCATGAAGGCATATGCAGCGTGCGTTTACTTGCGCACCATCTATAGCGACGTTTCGGTTTCATGTTGTTTGGTTTCAAGTAAAACTCGGGTTGCCCCACTTAAAACAGTATTTCTTCCTTGATTGGAATTGTGTGGTATGCTGCTTTTATCTCAGCTAGTGACTAAACTTGTTGGGATATTTAAAAATCAATTTGAAATTGGTAAAGTTATGCTCTGGAGCGATTCACAAGTCTCGTTAGGTTGGACCAAATCCCATCCCTCTCGTTGGTGTGTGTTTGTAGTCAATCGTATCTCATTAATACAGGAATAGACTCTCGAATTTCAACGAAATTATGTTAAATCTGACCAAAATCCTGCTGATTTACCCTCAAGAGGAATTTTCCCTGCTTAACTTCGTAAT